CCCCAAAACCCCAAAACCCCAAAACCCCATAAATGAAAAATAATATATTGAAAAGTATGATGATAAACAAATAAATTAAGAAATTAAAATTATATATATGGCATCAACTCGCAAGGACACAAGACTCGGGTTTGGTCAGAGAGATGTAAAATAAGCTTTGAGTTCTAATAATACTTTCAATAGTTGATTAATTTAAGTGTTAAAGCATAGGATATCATCCTGAAATAAGGGCCTTAAGCAGTAGTGGGGCTAGGAGCGGGAAGTTATAAAACAACGGATGATTTATAATTCAGGGTCAATTTATCAATGTCAATGAGAGATTAGCCAACAAACATAACTACCAATATCAGCTAAGAGGAACACTCCAAACTCATTAACATGCTCAGTATATTAAAATTGTTTGAAAAAGTTTATTAGATCGATCTTAAGTTTAAGAAACAGGGGATCAGTTGCTTCTTCCTTCAATTAAAACAAATAGAGCAGGCTAACAGTCTCCCTTTAAAGGAAATAATTCCTTATTTGAGAACTCTACAGTAGGCTAGAAGATGAGGAAGACTACCCTTAATGAGAAAATATTAGAGAATACTACTGGAGCTGTTGGGAAAAAGAGTAATTTAATTGAAGAAGGAATCGGAATGCTTTTAAAAGAAAATCCTTTTAGGGGAAGTGGATCAACTGATAGAAAGACAACAGTAAAGATGAATCCAAAGGTACTTGAAACTTGGATCAATGAAACTCTTTAAGATGCAGAGCACTTAGATATTCCAGGAGTAATACTAAAGCCAGAACACAAGAATCCTATATCTAGATATGGAATAGATAGATTAGCACTCACCAATTCTGGGATACCAAATGAAATGGTCGATAGAATTTTCAGAGCACTATTTGTTTATAGTGTAGGCTTCTATGAACTCATAAAGAAATGTCTTTAACATACAGAGAGAAAGTATTCAATCATTACATCAATTTGGAAGGTATTCTCCATATTACTGGAGTACTGTTGTAAAACAGATTACAGGATGTTGATCAGTGAGATTTCCAAAGAGCATAAAGATGAACTAGATAAGCTAGAAAAAGAGTTCCAAGCAAAGTTCCAAGAATAAGCTCATAATGAGAGAATTCTTAAGTAAAACATGGAAATTCTTTAAAAGTACAACGAGGAACTTGAAAAAGATAGAACTAATGAGAGACAAATGAGACTTAAGCTAGAGGAAGAATATATGCAGAATACCAAAAATCATGAAGAGGAGGTACAGTTAAGATTAAAGTTCGAAAGTAAACTTAACAACATGCATTCAGTTCATAGAGATCTTGAGACAAGATATAAGAGAGCATTAAATGAGCTAGCAACACTCTAAAACAGCAATGAGTAGCTATCAAATAGGAGTAATCAGCAGCTAGATGAGATAACTGTTCTCAAGACTATAAAAGCTGAAAATGAAAGTAGATTGGCTTATAGTGAAGAGAAGCTTTAATCCTTACAGAGAGAAATAAACATTAAAATCAAGCAAGTTGAAGATTATGAGAAGAGATATATAGATACTTAAGATGATCTAGATCTTACTAAGTATAAGCTTTAAGAAGCATAAAAAGATATCACAGAGTTGAGACTCAAAGGAGATGTTTATGACTCCTAAGTTCATGGATTAAAAAATGAAAAGTAGCATTTAACCCTAGAATTAAAAGAAACAAAGGATCTATAGAAAATCTACGAGACTAAATGCTCTGAGTTAATGAATGAAATTAATAAAATTAATGTCGAATTCTAAGAGAGTAAAAGAGAAATTATAGGATTTGGAGAAATCTAGAAAGAGAGGGATGAAAGAATTGAAAAATTAAAGAAGGAACTTAGAGAGTTGAAAATTGTTCATGAAGAACTTGATCTAAAGCATGGAACTCTAAGCATTTAATATGAAAAGGTTAAAGAGCAGTATGAAACATGCAAAAGAGATCTAGATGATGCTATAGAAAAACTACATGTGACAAATAAAGTTAGACATGAAACTGAAGTCAAACTTCACGAGGAAGTAGACAAGAATAAAAGTTTGAACGACATCATTAAGGATAAAGATGATATATTGTCTAAAAGAACTCAGGAAATAGAAGAGTTAGACAAGAGAACTATTGAACTTGAAAGGATGAATGAAGCTTTAGAAATTAAGAAAGCTGGTGTTGAGAGATAATATGAGTTAACAAAGAAATAGTTGAATGAAAAAGTATAAAACCTAAATGATGTATTGTCTAGTGAGAAGGAAACTAGAGAAATGTGGATAGAGAGATACGAAAAGGAGCAAAGGGATCATACTGCAACCAATGCTTAACTCCTATAATCGAAAAGTCAACTTAAAGATTAAGTGCTGCAGTCTAAGAATGCAGAAATTAAGCTTTCAACATAAATCAAGGCAAACGAGGTGTTGAGCGAGTCAAATATGAGACTATAGGACAATCTTAATGAGGCTCTTGCAAAATGTGAAAATCTTGAGAGAGAGCTAAATACATAAAAGGAGATTATGAAGTAAATGGATCAATCAAAGAAAGAGTATATTTAAAAGCTAAAGAGAGAATTAGAAAGTGTCGAAAGTAGATTCAGCTAAAAGTTAGATCAAATCTCTATGATTACTGAAGATTATCACTCAAGAGCTTCAAAGAACTGGCTTGAATTTAATTTGATTAAAGCCAAATTGCAAGAAACCTAGGATTTATACGATAAAGAATTGTTAAGAGTAATATAGAAAGAATAGAAAATTGAAGATATTCAACAAGAATTAAGAAATTCGGAAATGTTCACAGAGGAATTGAATTAAAGATATGTTGAGTTAGGAAACCAGAAAATCATAGATGATGACCAAATAAACTAATTCAAGACTAAGGTTGATGTTCTTGAGTAATCAAATAAGCATTTGAAAGTAGATGCTGATTAAAAAATAAAGTATCAAAACGAATATAACGAACTGCTGAAAAATACTACTTAGCTTAAGAAATAATTGCAAAAGACTTAGGCCTAATCTAATCAGAATATTAATGGATCAAATACAATAAATGGAGGTGATAGAGCTGACATTTAAACTCAAACTAATTTGATTGGTCCTTAACTTGACTAACTATTGGCAGGAAGACCAATCCCATAAATGGGTCAAACAGATGGTGGAAGACCAGTTGGAGGACAAGGAGTGAGAGTTGGTGGGGGTGGTGAGATTAAGAAACCTCCTCCTAGAAGATAACCATATCCATCTCAAAGTCAGACTCAACAGCCATAATTACAGATTGGAGGTGTTATCGGCTAATAAAATTCCGCATAATCACAGTCTAATTCATTGAATGCTTCACAAAGAGATTTTAACAATCAACCACTAAATTAAAGTGTTTAAAATCAAATTAATCAAATGTCAAAAAAGAGCAGCTTAGCAAGTAACCCTAATAACTCAAATATGACAATCTAATCTTAGAAAAATCTTGATATTGGTCAAACACCTAAAAGCAATCAGCAGCTCATCTAATCACTATATCCCCAGACAACAACTAATCAGATTTAGAGAAATAATCAAATTCAATTTAATAGCAATGAGTAAAACAATGTTAGTCAATTAACTTCTCCAAGAAGCAATAATCCCATGGATTATATATCGCAAAACCCCAAAAAGATTAATGATTACAATTCGAATCTTGAGGATACAATGGCTAGTAAAATATCGCCATCTCATAGATAGTAAAAATCTAAGGCAAACGAAAACAATACAATTTCAAGTATCCTTCAGTCTCCATAAGGAACGATTGTTCAAGGTCAAATCAATTCAGGATAAAAATTCATGCCTTAACCTAATAATGCTCAATAGACTTCACTTTAATAAGATTTCTAAAATTAGAATAGTAACGATTATCAAACTATATAATCTAATCTCCCTCATAATTAATCTTAAGATGATAGTTAATTTATGACAAATTCAGGAATAATTGCTAGTTACACCCAATAAATTTAATCATAGACTCAATAGCAATATCCAAATCAGATGCAGATGAGTGACAGAAATAACTTTTAATAGTACAAAAATAATAACAATGTTATTCCAGAATAGTTGTACGAGGACGAAGAAGATAATAAGCGCACTCCAGGCAGAGGTAGTGGAAACAGTGTTTTCGAGGGTTAATTATACACTTAAAGCAACTAAAGCAATAAGAATGCTTTTGCTAATCAAGTGATAAGGAAGACCTCTAACAATAGTTAAGTTGTTTATGGAAATAAAGGAGTTACTAAACCAATTGTTGAGTACAAAGGTTTGAATACTGTCATGAGAAACTAATCTAATAAGAACTACAATGATCAAGATATTCAAAAAACTATAACAGGTGAGAACTCAAATAACAGTAGAGTCAGTAAAGTAAGTAACTAAATGATGCAAAATCTCCCTAGCAAATAAAACTCAAAAGAATAGATATATGATGAAGATGAGGAGAATGAAATTGAGGACGAGATATAAAATGAGAACTAGGCCTTCACAGGATTTGCTGATGAAGAGGATGAATTTAATCAAAATGATTACTAAGAGAGAGAAATCAGTAGACAGAATGAAGATTCTCTAGCATAAGACTCTATCATGAATCAAAGCGGCTATAATACCTAAAATCTTCAAATGAACTAGTAAATGGTAAACTAGAGTAGAATGAAGATTGATATAAGTTCCTAAGAACGCAGAAATATGGGTGGAGTAGTACCAGGTCAAACGAATAATAATAATACTTCCCTGTAGAGCCCATTGTCACAGGTATCTTCTGGTTACTCCAATAATCTGATTCAAAATAAATTTGGCATGCAACAGCAACTCAATCCTGGTCATCCTAGTCAGATGATACAAGATAACAGAAAAGTAAAGGGGAAAACATCGATTAGAACTCTTATAAAGTCAGCAGCAACTAGAGAAAATCAGTGAAAATATATTGATAAGATTATAAAGATCTTCTTTTAATAAGACTTAACTCTTATTTAATATATAAGTAAAAACATTAATAATTAAATTTAGAAACAAATTTAAAGCATAACTGAATTTTCTGCTTCTTTAAATTTTTAATATCTGCATTAAAATCTCATTTATTGACATATTTACACACAATATCATATATCTCATGATTGATCTGCTCTACTCTATTGAAATCTCTAATATTATAGCCTTACTTAATTCTTTCCTTTTCTTTCTAGACTGTATAATTAGTCTCAGGTCTAAATGAGAACTGAGTAGACTGCTTTTACTTTTGAGTCTATATTTTCTATGTCTTTTCATCTAGTTTTCTAAGTTATCTTTCGTGGAAACTCCCGCTCAACTTGAATTCATTGATATCATTTATTTGAGGCTTGAGTGTCTGAGTTTACATGAATTTTGTTTCATCTTTTTACTTAATTTGAAGAAGATTAAGTTCTTTTTTAAATTCCCAATCAAGTGATTTATTCCAAAACTATTTCATTTGTTATTTATCCATTGTCATACTTAGATTTTACGATCTATCTCTTCATCTTGACAAGTCGTCTATATTTTCAGCCATTTCTCTTCTAACTTTTAAGTCATTGACATATTTATCTCACTACTAAATGATCTTGTTTTATCTCAGATACAATGGCTCAGGGGTTTTGATAAGTCTCTTAGATTTCTGGTTTATATTTGGCTTTTCCTTGAGTTAGTCTCTGATTTGAATGTAGTTTTACAGTTGATGAAACTTCTAGGAGTTCTATTTATGTTCTACCTCATAGTTGTAAAGATCATTGGAGTATTTGATAGAATTCCTAAACTGAACTCTCTGAGATAAAGGCTACTGCTGCATAATGCCACTGCTGCTCATTAAAATTTAATTCCAAAATTAATCTTATATCAAAATAGATCATTATCATAATTTCTCAGCATAAGTGAAACTTCATAGCTGGGGTTTTGGGGTTTTGGGGTTTTGGGGTTTTGGGG